AGTTTTAAGAACTATACTGGCTTCTCAGTGCTTGTTCTATTCCAAGTACTGCTTTTCTTCACACTTTCAGACCATTACTACTACCGTATAAAATGCTTGATACACATTTTGGCAAATGGGCTCCAAACTTCTATATTCTCTGCTCCAACTCCACTGCGGTGATTAAGGACAAGAGAAGATAAAGCTAACACTCCTACTCTAAGCAGAAGCCACTCCTTCCTTTGGTATAACAATGCCCATGACAAAAAGCCTTAAACTTCTATTCATCAATTTTGCTCTGATCAACAGCTTAAGAAGATGAAACTATTTAGCAACCCGGAAAGGTGAACACTGTACAGAATTCGTTAAGCAGAAAAAAAATATATAACTGAATAAAGGATCAGTTTGAGGAGAGACAGGAAAGCAGGGGTTGGGATAACAGCTCAAGTTTTTATTTTTTACAGCACTTCAACAAACAATAAAAGCCTTGAATAAATAGTTTCATAAGCTAATTTAAAATAAAACACAGTATTCTAAACAGTTACCCACAGTCTGCAACAGTCCAAAATAATATTGACAAATTATTTTACAAATACCTTTTTCACTATCGATCTTTTAATGTCACTATTCCACCTGTTCTCCTTCTGAAAATGTTCTTAACACCACGTTTTCAACAGTTGGTAATCAATGCATATATTCAATCCACATATATATAAATACATTTTTTCATTGAAATATTTTTCTCAGCACAGTTAAAAGGGAGACTTAATTACATCCATGTTTCCTAAAGCAAAGGCATATAGACACTGTGGGTGGTTCTCGAAACCCTTCCCTCCCTCTTCTTGTGGTGGTCCCTAAGAATCTGGCAGCAGGAACAGCTTGCATATATGGCTACAAATGCTGAGTCTGAAAACCATATATCCTCTGTGTTCCCACGGCACAAAGCTCAGTTACGGATGCCACCATAGACAAGCGACCACCACAATTACCATGAAGCTTCCAGTTGAATGAAAAGTCATCAGGAAAGAGAAAACCATAGAGGGAAAAGAAAAAAATAATTCAAGAGATGGAGAAAAACAGAAAGAAAGAAGCTCATACTGATTGCGTTGCACTGACAAAAAGATGCAGCTGATGTCACCAATTACTTAACTCGCTAAAGAGGGAGGTTAAAAACAGTTTGAAAAAAGATCTAAATGACTTTGTAAAGAAGAGTAGAAAGTCAGAAAACAACTTGCTTCTCCAGTACCTATTATGTCTTTAAGCATATCTTTGATAAGAGACTACAATTTTCCCCTTTATTCAGAAAAATTGAGATCTAAGCTTTGATAACACTGAATGAAGTCTGAAAATCCAGATGTGAAAAAGTTTTCCATCGTTTTCTAATATACCTTTCATAATGTATTCTGGTTTGTTTCAGTATTTTAATGCTTTGGTCAGAATAAAGTGAAGATTAAGATAAAACATTTAAGTTTACAAGAACAAAAATTAGAAAATAACAGAAAAGGTCCAAAGAGGACTATTTTTAATGTCTGAACACAAACTGTTTTTCCTTCAGAAACCATTTTAACAAGTTTTCTGTAGAAAGATTGTATTATCATAGATTACACATTGGAGTCTCAAAGAGGTACTATGGTGAGAAGTATTAATTTTTTAGAGGGTGGGACAGAACACTCATGTTTATCACTGAACTTTTCTGACGCTGCTCTATAAAATGGGTGATTTTGTAACACTCAGCTTGCCTACTATCACATATGAATGAATCCCCCAGGGCAAAAAGAACTGAATTCTATTCCCAAAGGTGCAGTATTCAGCTGCCGAAATTACAATACCTCCTGAAGCACATTTATTCTCCATTCATCCTTTCAAGAATCAGGACTGTGATTTTTCACTACAAAGACCTGACACTAAAATATGCCCAGCCTGGACAGGAAGACAAAAGTCTCGCAGAAGACAAAGGGAGATGAGAGGTAGAGAGTTATTATAAGCTCAATAATGATCAGTGTGCATGTGTAAAGAAATTAAGATTGTCCAGGAAGTTTATAGGTCTGACAACTTCTAAATTTCAAGTACTCAACTTCAAATGGAGACAACTACTTTAGAAAGAAAACATCTACACATAGTATCTCAGGTTTGAAAAAGTGCTTGCAAATTAAACTCTCCTACAGCCATATCTCCTCTGTATTTTGAACTGATGGAACATGTATTGACAGATGAAGGTTGTTAAACTCTGTGATCCATTGTCAGAGAGAAAATGAGCTGACTGAATGGAGATTTAAGTAGCACAGATGTGCTGTGGTTCGGTAGTCCCAAGAGTTTAGTTCACTTGCTGGAAAAGGGAGAAGAATGTCCTCGTTATGGCTGTCAACGTTTCTACAGGCCAAACTCAAAAGTGGCACTATGTAGTCTGGTAGGTTAGTTGGTTTCTTAATAGCTCAAAGCTATATTAGAGCATGAACACTTAATATGGTGCACATTACATCTGAATAATGACTGAGTGGATTAAGCCAACCAAATTCACTTATTGGCTAAGCTGAATAATTAGTGAACAGAGTATGATGAACTCAGCCAGTCAAGTCTAAACCAGCACTGCCCTTCACACCTCTTTGTACTGTCTTTGTGTGCATGTGCTCAGCAGTAAGAATCACTGCTATCACAGACATCCATCTTTTCAGGTCACTTTCCACTAAGTCTGAATCTTTCCACATCATCCCTATCATTTTGTTCTAGTGCTGCTTCTCTTTTTGCTTTCCATGTTTGTCTTTTTTTCTTTTCATGTTGCCATTCCTAATTTTCTACTTTCTATTCCTATCTGGGGTACAGCAAACCCTGAAAAGGTTTTCCTTAGTCCTTTATCTTACCATCTCCAGCTCCACCTGACCACCCTGCAGTGTCTCATTCTGCCAGCGCAAACTGTCTTTCTTTTTAACTTCTGATTCAACTTGTTCCTCCAAATCCCTTCTCCAAATCACTTGTCCAGCAGGATTTCTACTCCCTACCCTTTCACAGATGCCTTGCATGATCTCTATGTATGTTCCACAAGCATTGCTTCTTTTTCTCCCTCATCCTTTTATCATCTCCTATCCCACTTACTCTGTCCAGGTGTTCGCATTTATTATGTCAGGTTTTGGCTTTTTCCCCAATCTCTTTCATCCTGTCACATTGTTTATAGTCGCTCTCCCCATCACATTTAATGATTCCCAGATCTGTCATTTTCTTCCAAATTATTTGTTCACTGCCTCTGTGTATCAGTCCATCCCCATAACTCCTCAAGGGTCCACGTTATTTTCTGTATTTAGCTCAGACAGCTTTCCTTCTGTTACATACCATGAGAACACTCAGAATACAAGAGAAACAACTGAACAACACTACAATACAAAGCTGGACTACAGAAGAAAATCTGTGGAATTCTAGATAGCTCACACTCGTGAGGGATCAAACTCTTCAGTTCTAAGTTTCTCAGTAGAAACTGGGCAGGTGCATACAGGAACAGACAAGCATATTCCCATACAAAGAAATCCACTAAATTTCAAATTGCTCCTTCAAAGTTTTTCTAGCCTTTAACAAAGATGAAACAAGCAATTAGCACAGCATATTTCTGTTCTGATATTAAAGGCTGGCAGTTTTGTCAACTTCTGAAAAGAGGGCCTGCTGATGGGAAGCACAATCACTGCTAGTCAGATAGAATTGCATTACATTCAGACTTTTAATAAAGGCAGTACCTAGCACATTTGCCACCCGCAGCTTTGGCAAATCCACTTTGTAGAAATTATCATCCACTATATACTGGAATAACTTTTGCATAAATGCGTTTTTAGTTTCTTTCATTTAATTTGCGCTTTTGACTGCTCCCCAAAATAAAATGCATCCATCCTTCTCATTAATTATTTTAAACTCACTCTGTAACTTTTCATTACTGTCTGTAGGATACTGACAGTTAAGTACTTGAAGATGGCTAACCTTGATTGTGCTAACATTCAAGTATCTATTTGTATCTTTGACACTTCAGTCACTTTCTAAGACTGTGATACTTAGAGAAATCCATGACAACTGTTTGATTTTGAATTACACAATTTCTGTGTGCAACAAAATCTTGTAGATTTTTACTCTGGTTTCATATTTAGTGCTTCACTGTCAAAAGACACTGATTCCAGACCAGGAAATTCTGTGCCAAGGTCTTCTCTAGAATATCATACATTTCTCAAAAGAAACTGTGATTTATTGACTGAAGGAAAAAAGAAGTTACTAATTTACAGCTACTGGTAAGAAAATAGCAAGAACCAGATGAAAAACCTTTCGCATTAAAAAATTCTGATCTTAATTTGCAGAGTACATTACTTTTATATTTATCCTACCTAAAAAGTATATTAGAGTTCCAGTAGTTGTAATCTTTCAGGCTAAAATAACATTCAGAAATGCTTTTTTTCTGAATGTGCTCATCAACAAATGCTATTGTACGAAATTATATAATGCCACATGAACTAATTGTTATCTTGTCACACAATACTACTTAGTAATCATACATATAGTATTATATACTTGTAACAATCTCTTTCTGGTACATTTTAAAATGCTGGACTTCAACAGGGAAAAAGGCATTCTGAAAACATCTTCAATTTCTATCAGTTTTGGAGTTTTACATATGAAAAGTTTTTGCAATATAAAATTAGAGGTAACAAAACTTCTGCTAATGCTTTAAGGAATTTTTTGTTAAAGTGCAGAAAATAACATGTTAGTGTTTTTATTAAAAACAGCATGATGGCAAAGAAGTAGACAAATTTAAAAATGAAACTTCTAGAGATTATTGTTTCAGAAGCAGCTAAGGACTCAGTCTTATCCTCTCAAAACAGTGCAGATAAAGCAGGGTACAATAAAGAGCCAGGAAGGAGTGAAATCTGAAACTCTGGTACTGAGGATTAGTTCTACCTCCAAAATACCCATATTAAAAAACAAAACCACACCAAAAGAAACAATAAATCAACAGGAAAAAAAATCTTATTGGACAAAAGTTATTTCTGCAGTACCTTCAGGGGCGATAGCACCAGGACACACATCTTTTAGCAGGTCTCCCAAAGTATGCAACTGCCCTCCTGAAGCAATTGGTCGAAACAGCTTCTGTATAAAAGGTCTCTCTGTTGTTGCCTGTTTTAATAACAAAGTTAACAAAAACAACAATTTAAGGACTGTGCAAATATGTAATATTACCATTTAAGACAGGTAGAACATACAGGACAGAATGGAAGACTGCAGGAAAAGAAGCATCTGGAATTTCCCCATTCCCTTCCCTGCCTTCCATTTCATTTATATCATGAAATGCAGGGGAGTTTTTGTTTATTAACAATTGCAAGTAAGCTGTCACCCCAGAAAAAAGTGTGAAGATAATTTATAGCCGGTGTCATGGATATGAAAGTGGGTTGTTGTGGTTTTGTTTTTGGTTTTTTTTTTTTTACATTAGAAAACCACCAAATCTTCTGTTATGGGAATATGATCTTCTTAAACAAAACATTTTAATAAATTCTTTATTTCAGTAAAACAGGCAGTAAGCACAAACTCAGGAGTTCAATATACACCTATGTTTTGCCAAGTCAAAGCAATACTGTAACAAATATCCAATAGTTTTTGCAATACTCTATCTTCCTCCATCTAGAAGAACATTAGGCACTTCCAGTAGCAAACAAGTACGCTTAGAGGTCAAGACAGGTGAACTTTTTTCCAGTAGATTTCAAGTAAAAAATTTCAAACTATTTCAGCTGCAAGAAACAGTACAGTTACAAAAAAAAAAAAAAAAAAAAAAAAAGTATTGTGCTTGGACAGACAGCCTGCGTACTTAAAAAAATTAGTCATAATACATATAGAACATAAATGCCCTACTTCTGCTGCAGATATACAAAGCAATTCAGAATGATTTCAACCATGGATTCTTCAGTTTAAAACTACTCCCCCTTGTTTTATCACCACAGTCCTTGTAAAACGTCCCTCTCCAGCCCTCTTGTAGGCCCCTTTAGGTACTGTAAGGCTGCTGGGAGGTCTCTCCAGAGCCTTCTCTTCTCCAGGCTAGACAAGCTGAACCCCTTATTCCTCCTATGCCTTAGCATAGTTTCCAGAAGGATCTGCTCCATGATCTTGCTGGGCACTGAGGTAAGACTGAGTGGACTGTAGTTCCCCAGATCCTCCTTGTTTATCTTTTTAAAATTGCGGTGACGTTTCTCTATGTCCTCAGGGTAGCAAAATCTGGATACAAGCAGTGCTAATGAAATGTCTGAACATTTGAAAAATGATGGCAAGCACACAGCCAAGCAGGATCCACCTCAGATAGATCCACACTTGAGAAGGGAACTCTGGCACACCATACTGAAGAAATGTACTTCCAAAACACTAAAAAAACAACCCCCAAACCAACAAACAAACAGCAACAACAATAAACAACACCCAAAGGAAACATAGAAAAAATGACAACTCCCTTAAAACATTGTTATAGCCAAAACAATTTGGTATCAAGTTTAATTTTAAAAAATAATGAGGTATTCACAGCAGTCTAGTCATAGCTCCCAAGTGCTTACCACCTGAAGTAGCAGAAGTGGAAATAAACACTAGAAGTATGCAGGCAAAGGTTGTTATCATTATCAGACTTTTAAGATAAAAATTTCCCAACTGTGTACTGCAGTTTCTCATTTCTTATTAATAAATTATGATCAGTCTTTTCCCTAGTTATAATAGAGAGGGAAAAGCCAAAAAAAAGCCAAAGATGTATTTTCTCAGGTCTCCTACATAGTTGCTGACTGCTGTAAAACAATATCCTTAGCTGCTATCATGAAACATTACAGAAAATGAATTCAATTTTGTATTTTAAGTGTTAAGCAACACAGATGTGGTAATGTAAATAAAAATCACTGGTCTTCATCAATGTTAAAATGATAAAAGTAACTGGATGTTGTTTACACAAAGACTGTGGTTCACAAATCTAATCCTACAGGCACAGTATTACCCCAACATGCTTACACTTCTTCCCTCACATGCAGCAGATGCCTTCTGCATTAAAACAGTCAAAAGAAAAGTCCCATCCTACAATCCACAATATTTGTAGGATAACTTTCCAAAGTAGCTTAGTCATACAGGAGTATAAATAATTTTAGAAAAAATCTTACCATCACCCTTTTTCAAGTGTAAGAATATAAGCCCAACTTGACTACAGCTTTCTACTCTAATATTGCTATCCCTGGAAGTGTTCCTGGCCAGCCTGGATAGGGTTTTGCACAACCTGGTTTAGCGGAAGATGTTCCTGCCCATGGTAGGGGGATTGAACTAGGTGACTTCTGAAAGGTTCCTTCCCACTCAAACTGTTCTGTGATTCCATTTACTACAACACATGAAGGAATAGCCACCATGAATCACTGCTTACATAATGTGGTGTTTCGTACAATATTTGTTAACCAATAATGCAAAAAAGTACTACCTGTAATCTAACCCACAAAGACATCGCTGCATAACTAATAATGATTTTAAATAATCTACATCAGACCTAAAGCATGTATTCATACAGTATCCATAGTTTTTCCTACTAAAATTATCAAAGCTTCAACAGAATGTGGCGCTTTTTAAATTATTTTATTTTACAGTCTAACCTCCACGTAACTGTGAGTTGTTCAAAATGTTATGGATGCATTTGAAGGACACAACAGGTGAAAGTCAATCAGGAACTGCTGACATCTACAAAGGAAATGGCTTCAAGTATATGAGGATATGAAGACAATCACCTGAACCAAAAATTGCAGTGCATTTTCAACTGATCTTATCCACAATTTAGTATCAAATTATTAAATTTATATGAAAGCAAATATTAATATCTAAATTTTCTAGAAAGCTGGACTTAACTGCAACTTCTCATTTTTCTACATTATTACATAGACCACAAATCACATTCTTTGCAGAACAAATGAAAACTTTACTCTTTTTTAAGCAAGTTTAAACCATAACAGTGATAGGAAAGTGACAGTGAGAAAAAAAACAGGCTAAAATTACCTATTCAGGTATAGTGGCATTGACAAGAAATATAGGTGAGGGTAAATTTTAAGATTCCCTTTAAGGCATTGTAAAGCCTCTCAGGATTAGAGACAAGCTATACAGTTACATACTGTGCTAACAATTTTAACTTTTTCCCCCTATCATCCTGACAAGAGAAGAGGGGAAAAAAAAAAAGGTTGTCAGCTTGCCTGGTCCTTCTCAGAATCAACAGAACATCAAACACTGCATGAAATCCACAATTTAATTAGTCATATATTTTATACAGGATGCATCCTAAAATGAAAAACATAACCCATGAACTGCTAGGTTTTAATCTGGAAAAATCACAGTTACCAGTATTTTCATCTAGAAGAAACGATTTGGATTTTCTGCCCAAACACTCAGCTGCTATTCAGTATTCAAGCAAATAAAAGTCACCATACATATTGAACCCACAAAGAAAAAAAAAATTTCTTACATTTCCCACATGTGCATAAGCTGGCAGCCTAAAACTGTAAAACTTGAAGAGTTCCCTACATATTCCATTATATTTTCAGTAACTTGTCAAGTTCATAGTCTGTGCCATTTTGTAATGAACCACTTTACACTGAAAAAAGCCCTCCTAACTTCATAGGACCATTTTGTTTAAACCAATTTAAACTCAACCAAGAAGCTTTAAAAGTAATAATAAGAGTTTACATAATGATGTAAGTTATTTCATTAAAAAAAAAAAAAAAAAGAAAAAACAGGACAATTAACTACTACTCCTTAAAAATAAAATTTTTAAAAATATTTGCTCAAAAATATTTTTTTCATATTTTTAGAAGATGCATTCTACTTTGTAGAAATGTTTTCAATTAAAAATCTCAATGCACAATGTAAAAGTGACTAGCTGAAAAGATGATGAATTGCTGTAGTCACAGAACCATCAGAATACCATGCCTGTCCAAAAACAAGATACTGCAAATCCCCATCAGAAATACTGCTCTTCCACTGGTGCTGAAATGCTGTTTTTCTGCTGGTGTTTCTGGGTGGGTTCCTTTGACTTCTTTTTGCTTAATATTGGACCAGAATCACCGAGTACTTAATTGTGTAAAAAAAGCAATATTTCTGGGTGGGAGTTTTTTGGGGTTTGTTGTTGTTTTGTTTGGTTGGTTTTTGTTTTAGTAAACTCTGTCTCTTTCATAAGGGTAATTTTTAGCTGAATGAGCTAAAGTACACACATAAAAATGATCTCGTTTTATCTAATTGAAATGTCACCTTTCAAATTTTATCAGTATTTTTCGAGCTTCTATTACAAGAGACATAAAACATGACAATGTGATATTCCTTTTTCCTGTAATGATTGCTCCTCTTCTCGTCTTCAAATCTTCCAAGCAATAGAGAGCTTCTCCCAGACACCCCACTGCTTTTTTCTATACCTTTGATAAATTTTCTATTTCACTTTACTCTTCAAGATGTTAGGACTGGAACAACATTGAAAAAAAGACTGTTTCTAGTATTTCTTTAATCAGCCTCTGCAAACTCCAAGTAGATGCTCTAGATATGATTTTGTGCACTTTAAATAAGCACTGCTTTTGTCATCATTCAAAATTTTGAACTGCTTATCTGCAACATCACTGTTCAGAGAATAAGGTACATCTCATTATAAAATAGAATCAATTAACTTTTTATTTAATAAAAGAACTAAGTAATGATTTATATGTCCAACATGTAACTAAAAACCATAAGACAAAAAGGAGTATAAACATGCCCAACACATCTATCTAGGAATACCACAAAATCAAATCACTGACAGCATGTGCTCTGGGTTGCAGAACAAGTTGTAAAATCAACATATATAATAAATCAAATTACTTGGGTTTCCCATATTCCATTTTAAATTGCTCTAATAAACTATCTAGTTCAGTGGTTGTAAAAATTACAATAGATACCTGATTGTAACTTATGGAAAAAATGAATCCTTTAACTTTTCCTTGAGTTGGTACTAAAATTAGTATTAGAATTTCTTCATTTATGTTATAAGAAGGAAGCTTTGGTTTCCTTATGAAATTAGATGTGTTTATGGTGATGGACAGGAATTTTATACTCTGTAGTATTTTTAAGAGGCTTGAAACAACAACAGCAAAAGAAGATTAAAC